TTCAGTGACTCATCTATGTTTAAAACAAGTGATAGGCGCAGTGTAGGCACTCTTCTCATGCCTGCTGTGCACAGTGGTTCTATTCCCCCTGGTCTGCTTAGTCCATTCACTCACACAAAGCACCAAATGCAGGGACAAGAACATCCAAACCAGGATAATACAACCCAAGCAAGGACAATTATAATGCTTCCAGGGTAACTCTCAAGCTTGGAGGATGTGAAGTCACTGATGCTGGTAGCCATTTCTTGTGTCACCTGAAGAAGGTGCATTTCCAGATAAAAGACTAAAGCTGAACAGAGATGGGGGGTTGGGGGGGAGAAAGAGGGAGAGAGGGAGAGAGGGAGAGAGGGAGATGGGGAGAGAGGGAGAGGGAGAGAGAGAGAGAGAGAGAGAGAGAGAGAGAGAGAGAGAGAGAGAGAGAGAGAGAGAGAGAGAGAGAGAGAGAGAGAGGCTGAAACCTAAGCTCCTGGTTCCTAGAGGTCTTCCTTAGTTCTGTGAATTGTCACTTTATTGTTTCTACCACAATGGGGCAATAACTTAAACTTTCTTAAGCTAGCTTTGTGTTTTTATAACTTGCAATCACAATAGTCCTTATTAATACAGTTCCTGTGACTGTAAATAAGATATTATCGCCACCAGTGAACAGTATAGTCATTAAATTAAGAAGATTCAGTTTCCAATGTTAAGCTATAAAAGTGAGCAAGAAAATGCTTAGAAGAATACGTTGGAAACTTAGCATTTTAATTTCTTTTGAAAAAAGTTAATATATGAAAAATCTTTGTCTCAACAATCAATCATGTAGCTATTTCTCAAAAGGTAGTTAGATATGCTATAGTTCGCTAGCTTAAAATACAAGATACTATAATCGGAAAGTTAAAAAAAGGTAAAAACTTAAAAAGTCCTGGTTAATTATGATTCCTAAGGTATTCAAAAGGGGGAGAAAAGGAATTAAGAGATATAAGAATAAATTACCACTACACTTCTGTACCCTTTTAAATATATCTTTGTAAAGCTAGGCATGGTGGCACATGCCTATAATCCTAACACTTGAGGTGAGTTTGAGGGCAGCCTGGGCTACACAGTGAATTAATTATAAGCTACCTTTAGCTATACAGCAGGACCCTCCTCCCCTCACTCTGTCTCAAAGGAAAGGAAGAAAGAAAGAAAGAAAGAAAGAAAGAAAGAAAGAAAGAAAGAAAAAGAAAGAAAAAGGAAGGCTAGAAGGAAAAAAAGAGAAAGATTGGTTGGAGCAGTTTAGAATTGTCTACAGTTCCACTGTTTCCAAAGCAATAAAGACAACAGAATAACAGAAAGCTCTGTGGCATAACCTGACTACTTTAGTGTTTCCCAACTGTGTAACGCTCTGTTTGGGTTGAACGAACTAGCCATAGTTAAAGCTGTTGATGGTAGTAGAGGGGATTAACTTAAGAATTCATGAATTTACTATTTTATTGTCAAATCAATAGTATGATTTGAAGGAATTTTGGATAAAAGTTTTCTCTTACTGACATCTTTCAAAAAAGAAAATATTTTCATTAAAGTATTAATATTCTGTCAGAAATATTAAATGCAGATAAAAAGCCTTAAATTTTTAATGTTAATATATTTATCACAATAGTCAAACATTTTCTTACTATGTAATATAGGGACATAAAGTTAGAGACATGGAAATAGCTTATGACAGGAGAGTTTGGCAAGAAAAGTGATTTTAGTAGAACAAACAATAAGACTGTTAATATTAATGTCATGGATTGATATTTTATTTTAAATAATTGTGCAACTATTCTTTTAGTAACATATGGATTCCCTAGCACTTTTGTTTTATAACTTCATTCTTAAAAATTCCAGTGGCTTGTTTTCTTGTATTTCCCTTAATTGTGGTGATCTTAAACAGATCTTCAGTTTTAAATCTACCCGTTGTTCTAATACAGATGCATAAATATATTTTCTCCAGTTGGTTCTTTATTACAAAGAAAGCTTGTTTGCGGGCACTGTTAGGACATCTGCATTTTATTGGATTTAATTTTTAGCAATAAAGACCTCCCACATTATACATTCTTTCCAGCCTAAATTTGCCTGTGTGGGAAGCAAAAGAACTGTCAGTCAGAGAGAAAAAGTAAATCCATATGCTGCTGAGGATTCGCTTCCCTGGCTACAATGAAAAGAGTTGAGTACAGACAGTGCCCCCAGCAGATCTCTATTTTAAAGGTTTTTTTCTAAAAGGCTAGCTGCTGTGGTCTGAATATTGGTACCCTCCCAAAATTGGAATGTTGAAACTTAAACACCAATATGATAATATTTAAGAGGTAGGGGCCTTCATGAGGTGATTAGGAAACAAGGCTCTTTTGTCATGTACAGGATTAGAATCCTTATTAAAAAGGCTTGAGGGAGCTTATTAACCCCCCTTTCCCTTCCACCATGTGAAGACATAGGGAAGGTACCATCTGTGATGAATTGTTCTGCTTACCAGACACTAGATCTACTGAAGCCTTGATTTTGGACCTCAGAGCTTTGAGAAATAAACAATAAATTTGCTGTTTATAAATTACCTAGCCTAAGATATTTTCTTCTAGCATCCATGACTAAGATACTTGCTATAGTAATAAAGGATAGGTGCAAGTCCTAACACAGTACTCTTGAGTCAGCCCAGTTTATCCATGTACCATGCATCTAGCAAGCCATGGCTGCTTAGCCAAAACTGTGAAGTCATTCTATTTTGCCTCAGTCATGTCTGTTTCTCTCGAATATATTCCCAGTCTTTGCATCTGGCATGCTTTTCCACTCTGGGGCTCAACTCTATCCCTTATACTTGTTTATTGGTCTTCTCAGCCCAATTTTCAGTACTCTGTAGGGCTTTGGCTCAAGTTCTTGAACAGAGCACCAAATCTGTCAAAAAGTAAGCAAAACATAGTATCTGTAGCTTTATAAAGGTAAATTGAAGATGGGAGTACATAATTATTCACAATGCAGAAGACAGCAAATAGTTTTGATTGGCACCAAAATAACTGAAACAGCTAATTTCTCTTGGTCAAAAATTACCAACAGAATGAGAAGGAAATCGGGCAGCTACACTCTACTATTGGGATTTCTTCCCTCAGCACAAACCAGAGCCACCTATTATCTACCTTGTATTTCTGGAAGTCACAGCTCCTTGTCAGCCACGAATTTTATTCAGAGAAAAGATGCTTTTTTATTTATTGGGTAAATTTAAATTTAGTTTAACAAGCTTCCTACTTGCTGAGTGGGATACAAATATTAGTAAGATTTATTGTTTAAAAACTTTCTACCTAATAGACTTATGTCCTCTCAAAAAATGTTTACACTCTAACCTCTGGTATCTGTGAATGTGACATTATCTAGAAATAGGCTCTTTGTAGATGAAATTAAGATGAGGTCATTCTCTGTTAGAGTGGGCGTTAATCCAATGATTGGTACAGTCATTAGAAGAGGGAGTACTGGACAAACAGACATGCAGGGAGAATGTTATGTGGCTATGGAAGCAGAGAGCGAGGACCACTGACAATCAGAAGCTATGAAGAGTCAGGAACCATTCATCCTTCCGCCTTGGGAGAAAGCAGGGTCTTGTTAACACCATTTCACACTTCCAGCATCCAGAACTAGGGAATAAATGTATCTGCTGTTTTAAGACACCCAAATGTGTGGTTATTTGTACAACAGCTTTAGGAAACCAATACATCACTTAAATATATTAGTTACGGAGGCAAAAATATGGACAATAAGTTATAATGCAAGTTCAGAGATCTATGGATGTAAAGATAGAAGCTATTGTGGACAGTAATTCTTAGACGATCAAGTCTTCTATGCACTGATTTAATAAGCTTTATGACTCTTTTTTTTTGGGGGGGGGGTGCTTGGGACCCAAGATCAAATGCATGCTAGGCAAGTGCCCTACCAGGGACCTACATACCCAGCACGGACTTTTTGACTCACTGTGACTGAAAATGAATCATCTTGAGGTTGGGGAGATGGCTCGGTGGTAAATAAGACTGAGTTCACCAGCACTCACGTAAAAGCCAGGGGCAGAGGCTGGAATTCCAGCGCTTGCAGGGAGGTGGGTGGAAACAAAATCCCTGAATGTTGGCTGGTGGGCCAGGCAACTTGGCTTTCAAGTTCTCAGCGAGAGATAGTGTCTCAAAAAATAAGGTGGCGAGTGACTGAGGAATACTTCACTTACCTCTGACCTGAACAAGTCCATCCATATGCTCAGATGTATATGCCCATATACTGCACACATACACTGTCACATACACGTATATTGCACACACACCCCCTAGGATCCTGTTTCTCATCAGTGAAAGGGGCTTTGGTTCACCAGATGATCTCTGAACTCTATTACACTTGTAATTTCATGCTTCTAATTCTATAAAGTATAAGATTTTTCTCCAATTGTAAACATATAATTTAAAAAGTGTATAGGTTAAGGTGTTAGGACTCATTGGATCTGGCGCCCCTTCTCCCTTCCACCCTCTTAACTTCCAAAAGGTGAGAAATGTGAAATTAAAGGATTCTCCAAGTTTCATTTTGGGTGCATGGAGTTGAAAGACACACCATCTTTCAACTTAGCAGTTCAAGCCTCCTTCTGGAACATTTCAATAAATAATTGATACTATCTGTTCATGGACCCCCCAAAAAATCGCAGTTAGAACTAAGGGAGATTATGGGCTTCTGAGCCTCCGCGGAGTCCGTGAGCAGGCAGCTTAACCTCTTTATTTCCCTACTCTTACCATTTTGATGGGTTGTTGAGAGGACGAAATAAAATAGAATACCACAGGTATGTTAAAAAAAAATATATATATATACTTACATTATAGATATACACCCTTATGTAATATTACATCATATTAAATTATATATTTATATGTAATATAAATCTATATATTTTTTAGAGCGCCTGGTACTAGTCCCCAGGGGCTCACACCGGTAGCCTTAGGGCCCGGAGCGCGCGGGGCGGAGCAGCCGGAAGTGCCTGCGCGCGCTGTAAGCGGCGCCGGAAGTCCCCGGCCAGTCGTGGCGGTAACCTTGCGGGCCTGGTGGCGGCTGGCGTGGTGGGTTCTGCGAGTCTGAGCCGCTGTCTGGCTAGGCGGGTTAGCTGTTGGGAACCGCGAGGCAAGGCAGGGACTCCGAGGCCCGCACAGCGCAGGCGCCGGGCAGCGGGGCCGCCCAGCCGACATGTCTCTGGTGGCGGAAGCCTTCGTCTCCCAAATCGCAGGTAGCTCGCGGCCGGACGGGGGACGCGGGGCAGCGGTGGGGGCCGTTTGGGAGCGCTGGAGCTGCCCTGCAGGCATGGGGCGGAGTCCGGAGTCCGGAGCCCACACGCGGGGTGGGGGCGACCATCCGCGACTAGCCTCATTTTCCGGATGAGATAACTGAGGATACTCGGCCAAGGTCACCTTGCGGGCCAGAGTCCCGTCTGCCCTACCCCACTGGCATTGTTTCGCTCCCCTCGGCGGGACGGGTTTGGGGCTGGGGGAGGAGGGGGTGTGGCTACAGGGCCGGTGCTAAGGAGCTGTTCTTGTTACCTGCTGTTGACTGGGCACTCAGCTACATCTCTAGGCTCCTTTGGACTATTAAATTTGCATGAACTTTAAAGAAATACCTTTGCTTCAATGGATCAAACATGACTGATATAAATTTATAATTTCTTAACTGAGGTTTTTAATTTTAGTGAAAGAAAGTGAATATTATAGAGAAAGTGAACAGACTAGACATGGGTATTTCGAGGTTTAGGTTAACGGAATTAATATCAACCCTAGCAATGTTTTCAACATGAGTATAGTAGATGGTCACGAGATAAAGAGGTACATTTGAAATAAAGTAGTATTTTGGAAATGGGAAGTCTAGTGTATTGTAAACTTTGGCAGAATGCTTTTCATTGTATTTCATGTGTGATTGTAGATTTCCCTTTTTACAGGAGAGAAGGGCTTATTAGATTGTAAGCCTCATGAAAGCAGGAACACTTGTTTCATTCCCCATTTTATCCTAGCACCTGTCAGTTTGTTCTTTATAAATACCTATGTTTGAATCAATAATACTGAGATTGTAAGAAATGATTATTTCTGCTTTTACTACTTAGGTTGAAAAAAAGTCAGGCTTATGTAGTGAGATCAGTGATTTAATTAGATTGCGATTATGTTATACAGCATTGGGCAGTGTATACTTGTATCCTGTATGCATGTATCCCAATGTACAATTGCTTTCAACGAGAAAACAATGAATGCTTTCTAATAAACTTTATAACTTCAGAATTCTGCCTCACTTAGTGAAGTTTAACAGTTTCCAGGAATTTTGTCTGTATACCATCTAGCTATTTGTAGTGATCTATTACTCTAAGAGGAAGCATTTTAAAAAATGGATAATTCAATAAATGGTGTTAGAACAGCATACAAGTCATAATACTACGTGAATAAATTCTAGATGGATTTAAGATTTGAATGTAATATAAACCAATTTATAAGAAAATAATTAGAAGAAAATGACAAGGAGAAACAAAGATTATTTTGATAACATTAGCAGATAGCAGAAGGGACCTAAGAAAGACACAAAATACACAGTCCATAATAGAAAAACTTGGCAGTTGGTTATAGAAAACATTAACAGCTTTTGAGAATAACCCTGTGAATAACTGGATATGGTGGCTTTTGTCTGTAATCCCAAGCACTGGGAGGCTGAGGCAAAAGGAATCCAAGCTTGAGGTTAGTCTGAGGTTAGCTTGGGCTATATAGGGAGAACTTGTCTCAGACAAAACAAACAACAGCAGCAGCACCACCACCAACAAAACCCCCACCATAAATAAATTTCTACATGTTAAGACAAAGACATTTAATTTAAAAAAGACCCCCTCAATAGAATTCAAAGTGAAGAATTTGAACAGACATTTCATAAAAGGAGAAATGCAAGTGGACAATGAACAGCTGAAAAGATGTGCTCTGTGACTAGCAGATAATTTTTCCACTTAGGCAGAAATGAGCATAATAATCTTTAATATTGGCAGGGGCCTAAAGAATAGAGAAAAGTTAACTTTCTGACTCTTAGTGGGTCTGTAAGTTATGACCTTCTAGCGGCTTAGCAGAGTATCATACTTTAGCCAGAAATCTTCCTTATGTGGATTTATCTGATAGAGATTTAACTAGTACTTCAAGAATTACACAGTGTTATTATAGTATTATTTGTAATATTGAAACACTGGACTGTCCAAGATGTATATCAAATTATGATCTAGCAATCTAGTAATTCCATTTCAATACCTAAAGGAAATTACTGTGTCAGAGAGATATTTGTACTCCTTTGTTCATTGCAGCACTATTCATAATAGCCAATATGGAAGCAATCTAGTGTACATCAGCACATGAATGGATCAAGAAAATGGGCATATACACAAAAAGAATACTATATAGCCTTAAAAAGAAGGTACCTCTGTCAATCGTGATGGCATGGATAGAACTTGAGGTCAACGTTAAGTGAAACCAACTAGGCACAGACAGAGAGATACTTCATGATTTCATTTATATGTGTAATCTGATAAAAGTTAATCTTGTAGAAGTAGAGAGTAGACAAATGATTGCCAGAGGCTAGAAATGAGAGATGGCTAGGGAGAGGAGATGTGGAAAGGAGAGCTCATCAGAGGGTACAAAATTACACCCAAGGAAAAAGTTTTAGTGGTCTGTTGTCATGCATGCTGACTATAGTTGGTAGTAATGTATATTTCAAAATAGCCAAAAGAATAGATTTTTAATATTCTCATCCCCAAAAAAGTTGGTGAGCTGATGGATATGTTAAGTGTCTTGATTTAATCTTCGTTGTATATTCTGGCATGCTTGTATACACTTGCAGTTCCAGCAGTTGGGAGGTGGAGTCTGGGGGAGTGCCAGTTCCAGGCCAGCCTGGGCTACACAGTGAGATGCTGTCTTTAGAAAATCAAATACAAAATAAATTTATAAAAACAGTGGGTATACCAGTGTGTCTGCAGATGCTAAAAGTAAACATGTTATGTACATTGGCTTGGAAGCTAGGATTATATTAGGTAAAAGATTACAGTATGATATCAGTAAGGATGTGTGTGTATATGTGTGTGTGTATGCTTACAAAGAAAAAAATTTTAGAAGAATTCAACTCATTTTATTTGTATATTTATTATATATATGCTTACAAAGAAAAAAATTTAGAAGAATTCAACTCATTTTATTTGTATGTTTATTATATATATATGCTTACAAAGGAAAAAAATTTAGAAGAATTCAACTCATTTTCCATAGGAGTTTCAGGATAATAAAGATAGGATGTTGGTAGAGGGTGGAGGAATTAATTGTGTCTGAATTGTTGGAATTACTGTAGTAAGCACATTTTACTTTTGTAATTTAAGTGTTTATAATTTTTCAAGTTAAAAGATTATACTTAATCAAGAACCAAAAAGAAAATAATCTGAAACCTGGGGTTTGACCTTGACTTGTAAGTGATTTATAAATGTGACTCAGGTCCAACAGCTATTCATAGTATTCCATTTCTGTCATAATTTGGCTTTTTCGGAAGAAAGCTACTAACTATTGTGTGGATCTGGAATGTTCCCCAAAGGCCCATATTATCCAAAGGATTAATAAGGAAGAGGTTAGCCTCTAAGGTAGAGACACATGTCTACATAGTCCCATTACAACAGTAAACAAGAACTGAGAACTTTGGTTTTTAGTGTGTCTGGTACTTTGGTTATTCTTCTAGTGGACATGAGCAGGCACACTTTTTGATATTTCTTTTGGAAATATTTAAAGGTGTCTGGCATCTGTGATATTTCTGTAATGCCTTCCTTGGGAAATATATTTGTAAAGGATACCTTTTTGAAAGCTACTGACTACTGTGTGGATCTGGAATGTTCCCCAAAGGTCCATATTATCCAAAGGATTAATGCCCAGTATGGGAGCTGGTAGAAACTTTAAGAAGTGGTGATTGTGAGACCTTAGTCTTTTCTGTGCTCTGTCCTTGCCGTGAAGTGAGCAGCTTTGCTCTGCAGCTTGTTTGCTACCATGATAGACCTGTATCACCACAGGCCCAAAGGAGTGAGTTTGCCCAGCTGTGGACCAAAACCTCCCAAAGAGAGGCAAAATAAACCTTTCCTCTTTATAAGCTAATTATTTCAGGTGTTTTGTTAGAGCGATGGAAAGTTTACTACCAGAGAAGCCTTCTGAATTCCTTAAGTGAAACACTTCTGTCTCTTTACTAACATCATATACCCATGTCTCTCCCTCTCACAAAGCTTCCTATTTTTACACCTCAGTGTGACTTTCTCATCTTTGCTGCTGTTGACTTTTTTCTCCAAGGTTTTGTTGATTCTCACGTGAGTTACTGTATTAGTCTGTGAATTAATTTTTTTTTCTTTCAGTCTAGTTTCCTTCTAAAATAACCTCTATACTGCAACTCTCTGGGATTGTTACTTGTCTTGTTCATTTTTATTTTCCTAAGATATTTGGTGTGACTTCTCATAGGGTAGAGTGATGTAAAAGACCCTTTGAACGAAGTTCAGGCCTGTCACTCCAGCCTCATCTCCTTATCATTCCTTCCCCTGAACTGCAGCGCTCTACAGTATTTGTAATGTCCTTCTATAATGGTGTTGTCTTCGTCAGTGACCTCTTAGACAACTCCTGTTCTTAACACTGAAGACCATTTGAATGTGTAAGTCTTTTTGACATCTTTTTCCTTGTCAAATGAGAAAATTTTAAGGGATTCTTTTGACTAATAATGATAGTAATGATTTATGGCCATTACAAAAAAATGAAAGAAATCCAGACACAACTATAAAGACTAAAGTAAACATCACTTGATAGGACACTGTCTAAATTAAGG